TTAAATTATTATTATAGTCTTGGCTTCTTTTTTCTTGCCATTCTAATTGAGTGTCCTTGGCTTTCCCATCCTCTATATAGGTCATTTGATCCTCTTCTTTATTCACTTTGTTTATTCCATTTAATATACTTCCCATCTCAAATAATGTGTTCTTCATTGCTGACTTGTTCTTTTATATTTTCCATTTCTATTTTTATGCTTTTTATCTCTTTGTTGAAGTTATCACTGAATTCCTCTACACTTCCCATAGTTCATTGAGTATCTTTATAACCAGTGTTTTGAACTCTGCATCTGTTAAATTGCTTGATTCCATTATTCCTGGATCTCCATTCTGTTGATCTCTCATATGGTTTCTGCTTCTTTGTCTTCCCACTTTGGCTGCTTTTCTGTGTCTGTTTCTATGTACTAAGCAAAGCTACTAAGTCTCCCAGTCTTACTAGTGTGGCTTTATATGGTAGGTGTCCAGTGGCACAGTCCTGAGAGGGGTTCAGCTGCAGGCCAAATTTGTCCCCAGCCTGTGAGCCCCTCCAGGGCCACCTATTAAGATTCAGCAAACAATCCACAGACGCTGTGCTTATATTTGCCTCAAATGGCCACACTAGAAACCGAGGCCAGCTGCCACCAATGTAAGTCTAGATGCTGCTCAGCAAGAGGCACCTGACTCACCTGGATGTGGCTTGGGTGGGGCCTCAAGTTGGGTGAGGCGGAGTTTCAGGGAATCCTCTGGGTGGAGCAACCGCTGTTATCCAGTTTGATGATGTCTCCGCTATGGTGGCACTGACTCCACACACTGGGACGGGGCAGGGCTCAACAGAGGAACAGTGGATACCCCCGGCACTTCTGTACAGAGCGAGCCTCGCCTTGGCCCTCACTCTGACCACTCAGTGTTCTCCTGTAAGTCCTTGAGCAGAGGAACTAGCACTGGTGTTCAAAGCGAGCAGGTCTGTCACCGCCAAAGTCCACTCACGGACACAGCTCCTTTAAGAGGCATCTGTAGCTGCCGCTGCCGCTGCCACAGCCTCTGTCTTGCTCAGCCACTTGGGACCAGGTAGCCTCGTGTCCTCACCCAGTCCTACCTTCTGCCATTGCAGGGTGATTTCTTAGATTTCTCCCTAGTTGCATGGCTTGTTCATCTAGATCCCAGGCAATTTTTCCTTGCTGTTTGCTCCTTGTTTCTGTCACAACTTGATTTGGTCGCCAGAGGAATGAACAAAGCCTCTACCATCCACGCCGTTTTTTTTCCCGCCCCCCTTCAGGAACTTTTTTTTTTGATGTATTTCATAATAAAACAAAAGTTAAAAAAAAAAAATTCAGGGGGCAAGTTAAACAGATTAGACAAAGTTAAAGAAAGAAAAATGGAACTGTAAAAGCAACCCGAAGAAACTGCACAGAATGAATCTAGAGAGACTAAAATATGTTAAATATAAAAGAGGTACCAGACATGTAAGATAGCATAAACTTGAGAATATAGCTGATCAAATTCCAGCAAGAAAGAAAGAGAAGGAGGAAGAGGAAGAATGGAAGGAGGAGAAGAAGGAGAAGAAAAAGAAAACACAAGAGAAAGACAATCTTCAAAGAGAATTTTTAAATTGATTTAAAAAATACCAATCCTCATGTCCAGGTATCTTTCTGAATCTCAAGCTGGAAAAACAGAAAGAAGACAACACATAGTCTCATCATGGTGAATCTCTAGAACCAGAAACTCAAAGAGAAGATCTTAAAAGGACCAATTAAAAATTAGATTAACACAATGCAACATATATATATATATACATACATATATATATATATGTATGTATATATATATATATATATGTCTTACTGCTAAACTGTACACCTTAAAACTTACTGGATTTCATTAACTAATGTTGCCATAATAAAAAAATAATAATTAGATTACCTATAAAGAATCAACATTTAGACTGGCTTTTGACAGCAACAATGAAACCAGAAGACAATGACAAACTATCTTGAAAATGATGATAAATTGTCAAACTAGAATTTTACATCCAGTGAACATCTTTCAGGATCAAGAGCAAAATAAAGACACTTTCGAAACAATAACAATAAGTTTATTATCAATGAGCCCTCAAGAAATGTACTTCTAAAGAATGATCTTAAAAGAAAATGATCGCAAAAAGTTCTGAGAGATGAACAAAGAAAAAGGTAAACACCTTCGTAAATCTAAAGAAATACCGACTGTAAAATAAGAGCAAAAACAATAACTAAACGACACTTACACAAAAGTGAATAAAAGAGAAAAGGAAACAGAAATGGAAGAATGGCGAGAACAAGGATGGATGACTTCTTAAGTTTCTCGGTGGTAGCAACTAGGGAAATGCAA